TTGAGTTCGGTTTCACTGCCACCTGATTACTGCCAGACCTGCTGAATTAAGAAATCACCTAAATAAAACCTTTCTGACAAATTTAAGAGATCTCAAAAAAAGCAACACAAAAGCAGAACTTTTTGGAAGGTTTGAGTCCCGTTACATGTGGCATAAAACTAACACAGCATTTCAGAAAAGGAATGTCATACCAATAGTAAAGTGTGGTGGTAGTGTGAACGTCTGGGGCTGTTTTGCTGCCTCTGAACCTGGAATTCTTCTGTCTATCAAAACATCTTGAAGGTGAATGTCTGGTCATCTGTTTGTGACCTCAGGCTGAAGGGCATCTGGGTTCTGCAGCAGGATGATGATACAAAACACACCATCAAGCCCACCTCTGAATAGCTGAAGAAAAACAAAATGAAGCCTTTGGAGTGGCCTAGTCAAAGTCCTGACCTGAATCTGATTGCGATACTGTGGCATGACCTTAAAAAGGCGGTTCATGCTCGAAAACCCTCCAGTGTGTCTGAATTACAATTCTGCAAAGTTGAATGGGCCAAAATTCCTCCACAGCGCTGTAAAAGACTCATTGTCAGTTATTGCAAATGCCTGATTGCAGTTGTTGCTGCTAAGGGGGGCCCAACCAGTTATTAGGTTAAGGGGGCAATCCCTTTTTCACACAGGGCCATGTGGGTATGGATATTTTTCCCTTTTAATAATAAACAACTTCATTTACAAACTGCATTTTGTTTACTTGTTATCTATGATGATCTAAAATCATTTACATGTGACAAGCATTCAAAAAATAGGAAATCAGGAAGGAGGCAAACACTTTTTCACACCACCATAACACAGAAATATTTTCCCTTTTAAAGATGAACAAGTTTCCTCTTATTGATAAAAACACTGATTGTTTGCTGTAAAGTTAATTGGCTTTCTTGGTTTATTAATTCAAATCACAATTTCATCCTTTATTGTGCATTTAGTGTATTTTATAAATTGCACATGGGTCACTATGCATAATACCTGCTGTCCGTGAATGAGAGGTGTTCAGTGATCAGAGCAAGTAAACTTTTAAAGAAAGCAGAATATTTGTGATCATTTTACAGGGAGAGCGAATGCTCTTTAGCCTGTGCTGAAAAATGACTCAGTATTCAGTCAACAATAACATGAGTCATATTAGACATGGATCACTGACCCCACCTGCAGGTCGTTGCCACTATAATCAATATGCGAGTTATCCCCAAATGGAACTGAAAGCGATGCACGCCCCGAGCTGTTCTTTCTCTGTATTCTCTGTGTCATTATTATGGGGGGCTCGAGGTAAATAAAACATATCAAAGCAAACTGCTCTCATAGCATTCTGGGTTTTTTACGAGATTTGAGATACAGCTGCACAAACTGGGTCAGAGGAAACCATACTGAACCACAACAAAGCTCTAAAATTCTAGAGAAATAGAGACCGATGTATCAATTGATCCTGTACTGCCATAAGGAAACAGAGATAGGGGATACAATGCTTGTGAAAGTACAATCTGACAAGTGCTTTAATCACCTTTTGTTTAATTTTTCATTAACTAAATTAAAAGCTAAAAAAATATATGGTCCTAACAAAATTGCTTATTAGAGAATATTTAGTGAATTTCATGATTTCTGACAGTGAGTTTAAAAGAGTCTGGAAATCCTCCACATTGAGACAATTTTATTAATCAAATGAACTCAACAATAAATAAAATATACAAACTTGTATGATATTAGAAAGTGGTACAGTGGGAGCTTCCCTGAGCTGAAAGGAATCTGACACTCTTCACCTACAGTTACAACTCATGGTTGTGTTTTGAAAAAGAAAATACAATGAAAAGTGGCTTTATCCTGAATGACGTGCGTTCCTGCATCATTGAGTGCTTGCAGCATCTCGACTGCAACAGCTCTCTAGTTTTCTCTCCTTGGTAACTTGAACTCTTGACAAAGATCGGGGATGTCGAGCATCAGGTCTCATCATGTGACTGTAAGTAAATTGGTTTGGCCTGTTTCCTCAGGCGCTGTTGTGCTCGTAGCTTCCTGCCCTTCTGAGTTGCCAGTCCCATGGGTGGTAGATACGTCTGCAACACACACAGAGTATGCAAATAAAATCCCCCCAAAAAATTTTCACCCATTATGGTCTAATAAAGTGTAATTACTTACAGCTCTTGGATATGGGTTTCTGTAATGAAGACCTTTAAAAAATTTTTTTAAAAATAACAACATGTCAGTGACAACGTTACATCAAACTATAAACAAATTACAAAATAAAAGCCAAGAAAAATCATTGTTTGGGTAAGTATGTAAGAGCACAACATAGCACTTTTCTCATGCTGTTACCGCAGGCTTGTATTGTTATTTTTTCTCTGCAGTTTCAACCACGATTTTTTTTAATCCAAATCATTCAGGTCATCAGGTCAGCTTTGCTGCTTACTCACGCTTGACATGCTGAAAACCTTTCAACTGACAAAGACTCAGTGTGTGATGTGTAAGAGTTGCGTAAACGCGGCACTGGATTATTGTTAACCCTTTCAGAATGTCTGTGCACGTCAGATGTTTCAGTACATTCAGTCAACAACACCATTCTGCATGCTTTCAGGCTGAAGACATCCCAAAATCACTGATACAACTGAATTAGAAAGGTTACATATTATCAGTATATTTCCCTGAGACACATGAAAATCAAAAAATGGTGTTGCTACTATTGTGGCCTTTTGACATGCTCACTACATAAAAAACAACAACTTGCTGCTTTTCTCCATTCTTACCGATTTCTATCCTTGCTTCACATTCCTCTATACACTTTCTTATTGATTCTTGTTCTGTGAGCTGAAAAACAAAACAACACACAAAGTCTTAAAGATGCCATAAAGCCATTTTCTCTTTAAAAAAAAAAAGCATATTAGAGAGCAGAGTGTCGTTCACACCTTTTGGTTCCGTCTGAACAGATTGCGGGCCTCCTGCAGTATGTACTTCCTCTCTGTCTCCGTGTCACTTGCAACACCACTCTGTGCTTGCCAGGTTCGGGCAATGCGAAAAACACGCATGTACAGTGACAGCACAGTGGTACGGGTGGAGGCAGTCATCGGGGCTCCGAATCTGAGGAAAAAAAACAAAAGATACCTGCAAAATAAAGTTTTTACTGCATTATCTGTTTGTGTTCCGTCCCCCACATCGTGCCCCTGAATTAGATAAGCTGAAGATGGATGGATGCTCTATACTTGCAGCCTTTATTACTCGATTATACCACTGGTGGTTAGTTAGCTAGATGTGACATTATTTATTGCTCTTTTCTTTAACTACTAGGACTTTAATTAAGAGCTTTACTGCACAATTAAGACATGAAGTGCGTTATAATGAGAAACATAGCAATAATGTGCATGCTAAGCAAGCAATTAGTAAATGAATATATGAACATCTTTCCAGTACTGTGCAAAAGTCTTGAGTTTAATCCAATAATAATGTCAAAGATAACACAGCATCTTTGCATTAACAAGGTGATTCCCAAAAAGCGATTAGCTGAAAACTTGGCATAGTTCTCCATGGTGTCCAAAGGGTCCTTAAAAAAAATTGAGGAAACTAAATTGGCGTAGGATGAAAATATCCCTTACAAACTATCTAGAGCAGGTGAACAGTACCTGAATGTCACGTCCTTAAGAAATTGGGAAAAAAATCCAGGAAAGACCAGACAGAGGACCTGAGAGATGCATCTGGCCCATTAGTCGATCCATCAACTGTTCACTGAAGCCACATTAAAAATGGTCTCAAGAAGCCTGGGGTATGCCAAATTACACAAGAACTGGACTGAAAAATCAGTGGCAACAGAGCTTAATGGAGAGGAATCCAAATTTGCAAATTCATTTACAAATCATTGTTACTCTATGTATGTACAAAGGAGGTCAGTAGAGAACAATGACAGTGAGTGTCTACAGCTCTCTGTGAAATGCTATGGATTGGCCTCCGGAGCATGGACCTCAACATGACTGAAACAGTGTGGTGAACAGAAAATAAAAAACAAAACAAAAGAGATTTGAATGTCTTTCAAGACGCCTGGAGAACTATTCCTGGAGACTACTTAATAAAATGGCAAGAAAGCTGACTTCAGGATGTTGTTTTGTTGAAGAATAAAGGCGGTCATATCAAATATTGACCTTCAAGGCCTGCAAAACTCGGTTTAGCCTTATATACTATATTTCTATTATATAAATGATTTTCAATTTTCCTTGCAAAATATAAAGAAAAGACTTGCACAGTACTGTAGTTTTAGATTTTTAAATTATAGTTAAATATATTAGCCATATTCAACGCTAGATGCCACTAAAATCAACACTGAGATATTAAACAAACTGTTACATGACTGACGGAGAGGTATTAACTGTATGTTCTAGTATGCGCGCAGACTGAATTACGTTGTATATTAAATAAAACCATTCTCGTTATTTGTACTCACTGATGTTTTAGCATCAATTGCAACCTTGAAGCTAGCCCTTATTGTGACTGACCTAAACGTACAAAGACAGGGACATTAAATTAAAGGCAATGTTACTGCCTGTCACATTAACAACTTGAATTCGAATTGTCGCGAATCTTACTTTAATTAACACCACAAACGAAGAATTGACATACCCGTCTGTATCTGAAGAAGAGGCTAATTTACCAGCCGCTTGCTAGGACAGTCGCCTAATGATGACGCTTACTCATGACTAATCGGGAAGAAGCTAAATAATAAACACAAACATAAAAGAGTTCATATACTTTTAGTCAAAGTTGTATTTGTTTCACTTGTTAGTGGATAAAAAGTAGAAATAAGGCAGAAATTAATATAAACACCTCTACAGTTCAATGTGTATGAGCGATTGTAATTAATTTACAGTGGGGTTTTTGAGTCATTTTTCATTTTGGATATTACTGTGATCTACAAAACATCGACTTTTTCCTTGTCATATGAATACTTCCATCAATTGGTTAAAATAAAAGGATGTACGTTAGCGTCGCAGACGCGAGGATCAGCTGTTGGGTGCTTGTAGGCAGGGAGGAAGTGATGCAGGAAAATGTCCATAATGTAGCTCCACTCAATGACTAAAAGGGGGAAGCACAAAGAAATTGGGTGATTTAGTCCGAGCTGGCGTTTTAACTCACACCTAACAGCGAACACAACTGAAGGTGGACTCTAAAGCTAGTTGCTAGCTTGTTACTTGCTTATTTTCTAAGCGTGGAACAGAATTCAACATTGATGTGGAAGTTTTTTTTTGTGATCAGCTGCTAGCTAGTTAGCTAGCAATCTGAGTTAACGCGACGAGTTTGCTTCAGTTCGTATTTTTTGGCTAACTTCTTTAACTACTAAATTTCTTCAGCTATTCACAAAGTGATGTACATCCACACTCGACCGAATGTGTTTTCCCCTAAAGGTAAGTTTTTTACGGTGATAATTTTATTATTTCTTGATGTCTTAATCGAAAAATACCTAGCATAGCCGAGAGCTAACTTTTAGTTAATCGAGCTGATGCTAGCTAGCTATGACGACGTCGCCAGGGCCGGGCAGTTGGGATGGAGCTGTTAAATGGCCCGGTGCGGTGATCTAATGTGGCTCAATAGCAGCTTAACAACGACTGCCATCTGAATTTGTGTGTAATAGTTAAAAGTCCGAGGTGCGGGTGATTATTTAATGGCGGTTTACACTATATTTTTGAGTGTTGTACTTGTGTTGTTATACTCACCCTCCCAACAAACGTTAACTTGATTGAAATGATATTATTGTAGATGTTGGTAAAGGGCCGCTGAGGATATATCGATATAACAGTGTTGCATATGTAACACAGTCGTATTCCAGTTCACCTCGGGACGAGCTAATAATCTGGTTAAACTACTGGCTGTATAGGTCACTAGGCTGCTTAGTGTTTACTAACTCCAGTGCCAGCTTATTGCGGATTATATGTAGCCAAATAAACAAAATTTAATAAATATAAATTCAGACGGCCATCTGAGCTTAGTTAGGTGAACTTGGCCACAGCAGACGTGAGAGAGATTTTCCCCTACATGCCCCATGTATTGATCAGGACTGGCTTTTTGCCTTGATGTTGAATCCATGCATTAAATATGAAGTCAAGGGTCATATCACTGTTAGGTCAGTGATCACTGCGAAAGGTAGAAGTTGGTTTGAGAAGTTTCCTGAAGTTGTGGCTTTTACATCACAAACTGGAATATTGCGGCCCTTTTGAGATGTAGTTCCTTAAAGCCAACGGTGTCAAAGCTCAGCTTTTCACAGTTCACAGTATGCAACATAGCTAACTTATTTGCAGTTATAAACAAGTAAATGAAAAATCCTGAAATGAGGCAAACTCTTTGCAAGTTCTCAAATTACATATTAATAGCATGTTGACCAAAATAGACCTGCAGGTTTGGAAATGATGAGCTATCACTTTCTGCTTATGATGACAAGATAATGTGTCTTTTCAGCATTGTGGATGGCAAGGTCACAATGATGGAGCTCAGTAGAAAGACAATGCCATCTGAAGGATTGTAAGTCAGCTATTTTATTAGTTATCAGACACATGATCACCTCATGTTTTTCCGTCTGACTGATTAATTTCATTAACATGCATTCATCAAAGAAACATTTTTTAAGTTAAATGGGTAGGTAGAGAAAGCAGTTTACAAAGCAAGCTTTAGTTTGATTAATGTAAACTCCAGTTCAGTTGCAACTTGGTCAGTATCTCATAATCTTGTATGCCTTTTGTGTTTTTGCCACATTTTACTTGTTAGTCCTTTAGAAAACCTAGAAAGTCCTGTATGCTAACTTGCAAGATGCAAAATATTAGTATAAAAAAATCCTAACTACATAGAGCCAGTGTAATTAACATATGTTGCTGTAAAATCCTAAAAAAGACATGGATAACCATAGTAGCCCTGTATTCTTGGTCCATGTTTGGTGTTGTCAGTGTTTTTATTTTTCATCTGCTTTCATTATTGCTAGTAGAGAATGAAGAAGCAATATTGTGCAATAATCTACTGCTTAGTATAAAAGGAGGTAAAACTTCCTCTGTTCAAAGAGAACCCCCCCCACACACACACGTTTATGTGAACACGGCACAGAGGATGACCTATAAATGCAGTTATTTGCATCACAATATTTATACAATTGTATTCCTATTTTAATTACCTATAACTAACTCTATGGTAATACCAAGAAAAGCTCCTACAGCCGTCATATAAGAGTTATATAGGTCTTCTGACTTAACACACAACCCACCGGTAGGCTTCTGTGGTTAAGGGTGATACTCCTCTTGTACTACTTTTGACAAGGTTTCTATGGTAACCCGAACAATGTTTAAGCATTGAATTAATGCCTATAGATTATTTTTGTTTTGCTTTGTTTTTCAGGGTTTTTAAATCTTCCCATTGAAGACTTGGATCGTGGTAGATTTAGCAGAGGTAGCTTGACATTTTCTGTGTTCCTCTGTACTAATATCCACATTTTAACATTTTTTTTGAGAGTCGCTGGGTGTAACTTTTTATTCTTAATAAATGTTCTTCCCCCTCAGGCTTGAGGGTATGTTGAGACGTCTTGTGAGGCCAGAGAAGAGGCGTCTAGGTGGTTCAGACGGGGACTGAAGGCGAGGAGGAAAGACAGACGAGGGACCGGGAGGAAGACATGGGCCAGTGTGTCACCAAGTGTAAGAATCCGACATCCTCGCTCGGCAGCAAGAGTGGAGACAAGGAAAGCGGAGGAAAGTCTCACAAGAAAGGTGGCAGCGCTGGTGGTGTCGGGAGCCACAAAGAGGATCCTGGTACCCAGTGTAGCAAAGCCACCAATGAGCTGTCAAATGGCACCAAACCTTTAGAGGTCACAGTGGAGACGCCCATCATCACTGCAGGGGACACACGCAAGGATGAGCTTCTGGATGGAGATGGGCTGTCGGTCAAGCGCATTGAGGAGCTGTTCTGCTGTTACAAAGATGAACAGGAAGATACCATCTTGGAAGAGGGCATGGAGAGGTTTTGTAATGACCTGTGCGTTGACCCGGCTGAGTTTCGTGTCCTGGTTCTTGCCTGGAAGTTTCAAGCAGCAACCATGTGCAAGTTTACAAGGTAAGGTGGAGTTTTTGAGAACAGGGCGTGTTGTCATTATCCATGTTTGTCAATCAGGATAAACTAGCATGACCACTACACAGTTATTACTTCTGTGTGATTATAATGATACTGATAAGTATGTATCTTTGTCCGATGTACCACAGCACATAGCTGTTGCACTTATTTGTTTGTCTGACAGGTGTTAGATGATGAAAATGCTCATTAAAACAAGATTGCCCAAGTCCACATTTTTAAAAAGTCAGATTCATTTGTCACAGCTCATTCCTGTTAGTTAGTCTCACCATGTTTCACATCTTTCTTCATTGTAAGTCAAGCAAATAAAGGTCAATAAGGGGGAAAAATAATTTTCCTTTTAAAATCTCAAATGAAATTTCCCAAGAAATGTTCCTCCATGAAACCAGTCCTTTTCTTCTCTGTAGCACATTGTCAGAAACATGTGATTAAGTTAGGCGGGATCCCTCTGGAATGAGGACAATCGCTGTATTATTGATTGTCTATTATATACAGTTTGATTACTGTGGGATTTGTTTACAGTAACACATTCAGTCTGTGTGATTAATACTTCCAAACTTGTTATCCATTTAAAAAAACATTAAAACTGTTCTCAGACAGCCAGCAGTTTCCATCACTGCAGCAGGGTACAGTACAGTGTTGGCTGCTGGCTACTTGTAGTTGTAGCAGCAACTACGTCATCGTCGGCTGCTGTCAATATAATATAATATAATCTCATCATGTGGACATATAGAGTGGGTTGCGCTTCAGAGGGAATGATAAGGGAATGTGATAAAGTTTTTTTTCTTTTCTTAAAGTAGTATCTTAGAAGTTGTCATTGATTAGATCAGACAGCTGATGTTTCTCCAGTGTTCTTTCTTTTCATGGATTTTTCTGTTTGTTCTTGGTGAATAGATATGCCCTTCAGATAGCTCAGGACCTGCATTATCTTCTCCTGAATTGTTTCTTCTTGGGTTGATTCAGTGATTGCCAGTGAGCCACAGAGGCAGTTTTTTCTTTCTTTCTTTTTTTTAAAAGTGTACCATTGTGAACTCCCAATAGCAGTAGCACAGAGCGCTGGCAACCTTCCCTCTCCTTGCTATGTTTACATTCAAAACAATGTAGGGATTGGTGGAATAACCACTCACAGCCTGGGCAAACGTTTAAACCCTCCTAACACAGATTTGCAAACAGCATGCGTGAGGCAGTCGTTATAGAAAAGATCACTTTGCTTCTTGAGTAGGTAGCTTTTTACAGATACTCTACTGCATTAGTTCTGTTGGTGCTATGCTTGATAGGAGATTAGATTTAGAGTCAAGAGTTAAAGGTGAAAACACAGATTATTTTTCTATTTCATGTAACTCTTCTCCTTAATTTAAAGCAGCCCATTTGTTCTCTCTTTTCTGTCTCGAAAGTTGACGAGTTCCTTGTGTATTCTGACAAATCTCCATTCTCCGTATGGCTCCTGCAACTACTGTGAGCCATGAAAGGCGTGAGGGCGAACCAAATTGTTGCAGGCAAACACATTGCGCATCACTGAGCTGTCCACTGAGCTTGGAGATTCGTTATACTGACGTCCAGTCATCGGCATGAGTGATGAGAAAGCTTGCTGCCACCCGCTGCTATTAGCTCACCATTTGGCAGTCGCCTTTAATGACAATATGATGGTATCAAAACACAGATGATTGCTCGTCCCTAATGCTGGCTAATAAGGGAGACAGTCCAAGTCTCCTGACACAGATTTCCACGTCTGTACTGTGTAACACTATTTGCTGGAGTTGCACGTTCTCCCTGTGCCTGTGTGGGTTTCCTCCCACAGACCCGCACACACATTAGCTTAATTGGTGATTATAAAATAGCAGTGGATGTGCAGTATAAGATAAATCAGTGTATGGATGACAGGTTGAATGTGACTTGTGGTTTAAAGCACTTCAAGTGGTAAGTAAGACTAAAGCGCAATCTAAATGTGTGCCATCAAGCTGCTGGCAGACTAGTAAGTAGACTGACTCATCTCCAGGAAGCTGCATGTCATAAAGACAAACTGATGAACAGTCTTCACATGACCTACGATCAGGCTCTGTGTTCTTAAGGCTGGTGTGATAACCATTAAAGAATTAAATCTGGGGCATGATAAACATCTGGGTTAATAAAAATGGGAAGATAAAATGACTAGTTATGATCACACTTGGTTACTTTTTATGCATTTTCCTTGGGGAAGTCAAAAGGTTCTTAACTGCATGTGCTTATGTGTTGAGAATTTAATATTGTTCCCCTATTTAAGCTATTTAAATAACATGTTTTAGGCAAAGATTGTCACATGCTGTTAACCACTATATTTTGCACCCCTAATACCTAGCATATGTCCCTATTAACCCTTTTACATATATAAAAACAGCTTAGAAATACTATAACAAGTCAAAGAATACAGAATTACAGCTATAACAACATATGACAGAGTAGAATTTTACATATTTGATTAATAACGATCTCCTTATCTCAACTAAATGTGACAGACTAAGTCCCGTCTTCTCTCACTAAATCTCAATTTGACTTTCTCCCTTAACAAGTCAGCTCTTTAAAGGTGACGATCATTTATTCCTGTTATGTGCTCATTCTCAAAAGTATAAGTCTCAAGCTGGTCCTCAAGGGACACACGGGAAGTAGATCGTCTGCAGTTGAATAGAGCTGCCTATTGGCATGGTCGTTAGTCCGTCCAGATTTTGAACTCAGCACTTTTCTATTGAGAGGCTTTGGACAGTACCAGACTCTGGTACCCAACATGTTTCTTTGTGATCTGATGCTTACTGATGCTCTTTATATTACATTTGAGTTTTAAAAAAGCCTGCACTGTTGTAGAGGTCAAAGGAGGTATATCTGCCTGGGTCAGTGCTTTCAGCATGAAATGACTGTAATATTATTCAAAGCTGCAATGAAAGAATGAAGTTTTCTATAAATTTGATAATGTGTTCTTAAATAGTACAGGGATTTGTCACTGATGTTTGTAGTGTTAAAGATAAAGCCTGGTGATTGCCTGACATGTCTTCACAATGTTTTGTTGTACATTTTCTGCAGATTTAGGTCTTAATTCAGTCTACTTGTGCTCATATGGCTCTATGGAAAAGTAAATGGATTTTTTTCTGGTGCTTATCTTGACTGGAAATTGTGATTGTGATTCTGATGTCCACGCTTCTCGTGTTTGCATCACCAGGAAGGAGTTTGTCGAAGGATGCAAGGCTATCCAAGCAGACAGCCTCGAAGGCATCTGTTCACGGTTCCCCTGCATGTTGCTGGAGGCCCAGGGTGAGGAGAACTTCAAAGACCTGTACCGCTTCACCTTCCAGTTTGGCCTGGACGCCGAGGAGGGGCAGCGCTCGCTGCAGCGCGAAATTGCCATTGCCCTATGGCGGCTGGTTTTCACGCAGGACACACCTCCGATCCTAGAGCGCTGGCTGGACTTCCTTTCAGAGAACCCCTCAGGTATTCGGGGCATCTCAAGGGACACGTGGAACATGTTCCTCAACTTCACCCAGGCGATTGGGCCCGACCTGAGCAACTACAGCGAGGACGAGGCTTGGCCCAGCCTCTTTGATACGTTTGTAGAGTGGGAGCTGGAGCGCAGGAAAAAAGAGGAGGAGCAGGCACTAACAGCAAAGGAGGAAGAGGGGAGGTGTACTGAGACAGACTGCTCTCCCACCTCAGATAGACTTGAAACAGAGGGAAGCCGCGGCTCACAGACGTGGGGGGGCCACTGACCAGAAAACAAACGAATATTTGTAAAGGAGGGAAGGATACAACCTATATGAGTGAACTATACATCTGTGAATCAATGGATGAATATTAGTATTACCATAACAGCTGTTCATTTTGCTCCCCTTTTTCTGTTGGGGTGGGGTTTCTGCTTTTCCAACCCTGTTTTTTGGTTTTTCAAAGGGCTCCAAGAACTGTTGTGTTTAATGCACTTCTATTTAAGTTATTGTTTTATTCTTCTGTCCTCCCATATTTGGGTTTTGTTTGGTTTTTAGTAATTGGACAAGAAGTCCATTTTAACATACAACTACCTACCACAATCCAGCAAAATTAGCTCTTTTTAAAGCTCTGTTTCAAAGGGCAACACACGAGGTTCCCCCCTACAATTACAGAAAGTGGATTTCGACCTGTTAGTACCACTCATCTTGTACAAGGAAATGGTTGTTATTATAATAATAATAATGATAATAACAATAATAATAATAAAGACGAAGGGAAAATCGGGCAGCATGTCCACAGATAATTTACTACCACACACAAGATTTACCATAAGGGTAGGAGTCAGTGAAATTGGATTAATATAGTTGCATTGTATGTTTTTTATCTTGCAGTGCTGTGAAATTTGAATTGGTTCCACTTGAATTGCCTTCACAACTGTCTGCCTGCAATTACTCAACTAATAGTAATGGATTACAATTCTGTAACAAGGGCATTTCATTTTTTTAAAAAATGATACAAACTTAAGTTTCAATTGGTTTTAAATCCAAGTTGCTTTCCATGGTTACAGATACAACTTCTCATCTGTGTTGAGTGTTGTTGTTTTTTTTTTGAGTGCTTACAGTGCGGTGATCAGCTTAGCTTGTGTAAGCTGCTGCTGTACTCCGTTCTCTACCATTTTGTTGTCCACCTATTTTCAAGAAGCAGAAAATGTCATATACAACACAATGATGTTGCCTTTTTTTCCAATATAAGGAAACCTGTATCTCAACAAATCTATTAAAGCAAGGTCTTGGTCATTTCTGGTCAGAAGATGCCTAAGCCTGCGTTATATTCAGGATCATTACACTGGGCGCGACATGAAGCTTTATTGTATATTGTTTACTTTTGGGAGTTTGAAGCTTCACAGTCTTGAACTGCTAAACAAAAATAGAATATGTGCACACTTCACAAATAAAGTTGATTGCTGCTGGTGATGGTTGTAATAAATTGCACAAAAACCTATGGCATGCTAAGATGCTATACTTGGGAACGCTTTGCAGAGAGATTGATGTCAACCACATCGAAACCCTCTTCAAAAATGTTAATTAATTTTATCTATAGCTTAGAGGTTTCTTTTTTTTTTTTTTTTTTTTTTTTTGCCATGAGTGAGTGTTAATTAGACTGGTTAATCAAGAGTCTCCGATGGAGGTTCAGTGTAAGAGGGTGACCATAACCTGATTTGTCTGGTTTACAGCTACAATGGTTTTATTTTAACTCCCCCACCCCTCCTCTTCCCTTTTCCTTTTTTTATATAAAATGTATTGATTTATAATAAATAAAAGCAGTGTTGAATTTTTGACCTTGAAAATTTGTCTCATTTCTCTTCAGTGATTTTATCTTTATGTAGATTTCTGCTGTGTTGCTCTGTTGGTGTCATAGGCAGTGCTTTAATACCCTTTCAGTCAGATGGAGTGTGGCTGGGCAGTAGGAGGCTTTGTGGAGGCTTGTCGGAGCAGGAGGTAGAGAGCGGACCGGTTAGGGGCGTGGTTCTCTCTGATGCGGCTCTCGCCATTGGTGGACAGCTATCCTGGTTACCAACCAACACAACACTGGGCACATGAGAAACCACTAAAAAGCTCGTGAATTTCAAAGATAATGGTTATCAAAGTACTCTTTTTTTTTTTTTTTTTTTTTTTTTTTTTTTTAATGGACCGTGAGTATTTTTCTTGCATATATCAGAGTCGAAATAAAGTAAAGGCTTTCTGAGATTATGAAGACGGTACGCAGGTTTATATCTGTCTTTTAATAGTAGTTGGAGGCTAACTCGCTAGCTTTTTTAGTTTAGTTATGAACGTCAGCACTGCTTTTACTGAGCTATCGGCTGCTTGCTAACGTCGCCTGCGCCACTACACCTACTAGTTAATTCATGCGATACAACCGCATAGGAGGTTGATAACCCGTTATCTTTCGCTTAAAGTTGACATAGTCAACAATGGCTAGCTCGTTAGCTCTTAATAGCATAGAAATTATTGTAACAGCAACGCTACCCGACAAGCCAACTCCGTGCACGAGTGCTGATGAAAACAAAACCCTGGGGTGGTTTAAAACGAGTTTTGGTCAACCCCTGCTTAAAATAAGATGCTAACGTTAACACAATCGTGAATGTTTGGTATTTGGTCCCTTGAATCGGCCAGCGGGTGTGGCGACATTTTCCACGAGCTGTACTCAAGGTACTTTAGGTTTCATGTCACGGCTAACCTCAGGGTTATCATGTGTGTCCCGCTACAGTGATGGACAAATACGACACAGATTTGAGGGATACGTTTTGAGCAGGAGTGATCGCCTCTCTTCAGAAATATGGGATAGGGTCATGTGAGCAGCATCATCTGCAATCACACGATGGATAACGAGGTAATGATAGTTCAGATCATCTGCCATTTTACTTTACGTGATACACTTTTCATTAAACACTGCAATTTTCACGACCATGAAACTCTAAACTAAAGGCATGCTATTTTGTGCACCAGTATCTGAGCTGTCACCCTGTCTCTATACTCTGTCACTAACAAGAATTTTCTACCCTTGCTTCTCATTTCTCTGCCTCCCTTCTGCTCCTGACCTTGACAGATGCTGTAGCCTAGTTGACTTGTAGAAACTGAGTAAGGCTTTGTGATTTCTTTGTTCATCTTGCATGTTTCTTTAAAAATATATAACAAATGAAACGGCATGAGCTTTAGGCGATTGTGTTATGCAGTCAACCAGTGCTCCCTCCGAGACCCACTTTTTATTTAATCTGCTTAATTTTACTGCAGCCAGCATTATTAAGCTTAAAGCAGGCAGACATCTGGTCTTTTAATAAGGGCCATTTCATTTCAGCTGAGTGCAGAAATGTCTGAACAAGATGTATGCTGTCAGGGTGGTAGAACCCGTAGGGGTCCTCACTTTGGGATTTTTGGTTTAACGTGACAGATATCGTTTTACAATCCATCACTTGAACTACAGCTAAAGAGCTACACTTCATGCACTGTGCACATATTATTGCAGGATGTGATCACCACTGAGGATATAGTAGGGCTGCCTTTGTGAAAAAGTGGCTGAATTTGACAAGCCATGCAAGTATTGGCCCATGCTGAGTCAGTTTCAGCGTGAGAGCTCAGCTTGGGCTCATTTTTTTTTTTTTGGCAGTATCTTTTGCTATGATCAATTGTGTGGCTTCATATAAAAATTGAGAGTTTGCGGCTCTTTAGCAGCAGATATTGTAGAGACTAATACTGTGTTAAGGTTATCAGGTGCTGCTTTACAAATAATCAGTTTTTATTATGGTCCTAACCAATAAAACCTTTCTTAATTCATTTCTCCATCACCCATTTAACCTTAGGCTACATCCTGACTAAATGGTTTTTAAATCCAACCGTAACCCCTGTGTCATGACACATTACGCATCCTTCACTAAAGCTTTAGTTCCACACTCGGCGGAGGAGCAAGTTGCTTGCATAATTGTGGTGATGCACGCAATAAAGTGAATGTGCATACCTGTGCAAGAATGAGTTGTATTATGACAATTTGTTGCCCACAAACCGCTGATGTAGGCCTTTCCGACCTTTCATCGTGTGTGTCTGTTTACTGATGTGTGTGTTCTTGAAGGAGAGTAAGACGTGCCAAGGAGAGAAGCTCGCCTCTGCTGTAGATGACACTCTGGATGAATATTTAATCGCCCTCCAACACAAAAACAGGTGAAGTGTTAGTGCAGGCTGCCGGGGAAGAGACAGATTGGATTTCACAGGGGAAACGGACAACTCCTGCATGACTTTCAGTGCTGCCTAATTGGAGCTCTGATTGGTTTGCCTCCTTCCCTTGAGAAACAATACATATATTTTAAAAAGTAACATAGTCTGGAATTGGAATGTGTCATGTTGAATCCTTTGTTAGCCACGTCAAAACTGTGATAGGATTTGCTATATTTTCGAAAGCTATTTATTAGCTCTTTATTTGTTCTCCAGGCTCTTAAAGCGCCTTAAAGTCAAAGACCCCAAGGAGATTGAGTTGGAACGGCTTGAGCAAGGTTTTTCAATTTATCTTAATGGAGCCAATGCCGAAGCCAGTAGGAAGCAAGCCAAGGGCTCCAACCAAAGGTCTCCCTCCTCACAGCCACCTTTGAGGCCTACATGTACAGCAGGTATGCTTTTGCACTTAGACTCAAAACTAGATATTCTTATATAACACTTGATTTTTTTTCTTCTTGTTTATTAAATTTTTCTGAATCTGTCATGCAGGCAGATGTATTATTCTTGAGTGTTCAGTCATGTTTAGGAGAAATCACAGGTACTATCTCATGCTCTTTTTTTGTTGTTGCTACTGTCACCCATGAACCATATGGAAAACCAGCTAATAGCCACCACTCCTCAGCTTGTAGTTTGTGTGACAGGATCCCGTGTCCAGTCCCAGTGAATAAATGATAGTGACAGTTGTAGCTGGCAGGCAGTTTATTCGTCTTCCTCTCTGTGCTGTGGACCATCTGTGTATGTGACTGTGTGTTCCTTCTCCTCCGAGGCATTAGTCTGCTGCACGCTGCTCATGTTCGTTTCTGTGCTGTGACTCATCGGCAGATGTCTGTAGAAGCGCCCACCAGCTAACTGAAGACGGTAGTAAACTGGAGCAGACCCACAGGAAGAGAAGCCACACTGCCCCAGGAAAGGTCCAGAGGAAAGAATGGGTGCAGGTGCAGCCATCTGATATCCTTATCCTATCTGTATTAACACTTATTGTTCAGCAAAAATAGACATTTCCTATTTTTAAGGACACATGTTTGATATTTCCTCTTTTCTAATATGTGCAGGATCCTGTTAAAATTCGAACAGAGGATGGACCAAGTTTGCTAATCTCCCCAACAAAGCGCTACTCTGATGATTTTGAGCCCTATGAAAGCATAGACATGGAGGTAGAGTGAAGACATAACAATGCCTACTAAGCCTGTATGTGTGGGTGTTTTATTTTTAGGGGAGGGACTATGTGCCAGATGCAGCTGTCTGTAGTACTTAGCATCTCTCTATCTCTGCTATTTCCCCTTTATCCAATCATCACGTTTCATCCAGAGCTCCAGTCCACGCTCCCCTCGTAGTCCCTGCTGCCAGAGGAACACCTGCAAGGTGTCGCACTCTTTCAGCTCCAGGCCTGAGAGCCGAGGAGACCAGGAGCACAGTGAGAAGGTACTTCTCAACCTTGAGGAAGTGAAGGTGAGTGGATGAAAATGTATGCGTTTTGTTTTTTTGTGTCTTCTTGTCGAAGATGAATTAGATATAGAGAATCATCGTAATTTGGTTTATGCCTGTTGGTGGGAATTTATTTCACTTTTTAGTGGTAGTTTGTCAAATCACGAGGATGGTTAAACTGTCAGTATACAGGTCTGTGCCTGTGAGTGCGCAGGATGATGACTTGTGCATGGATGAATATATAAATGATGACCTTTGCAAACTAGGTTTTGCGTCGAAGCCTGGAGGTTAGCATGCGACGGAGCAGTCGTGGCTCAGCTGGGGAGGAGTCAGATGAAGAGTGGGTAGAGGAGCAGATTGAGAGGGATGAGAGCACAGAGAGTCTGGATGAACTGGGGCTGCCTCTCCCCTCCTCCAAGTCATCCTCCAACAGCTCTCGGCCCAGTGGCTCCCAAAGCCATTTTGACTCAGCGAACCTCATTGTGCTGGACTTTGGACCCTCACCTAAAGGTAGGCTAATATGGAAATTTGTTATTGATTTAGGGCGAAGCAAGAGAGGTAGCATCCCCTGCTTTTCTGCGTCATCAGCACTGACCTAAGGATGTCTTTAGGCATGTTGTCAGCATATGAAAAGAAGCATCTATTCCTGATCTTAATCAATTTCCTTTATTTTTCCAGGTCGTAAGATCGAGCGTTCACTGTCTGCAAAAAGGAAAGAAAGTGTTGAGACTTTTATACCCACCAAACCTATGTTGGTGAAGAGCAAGACATTAGATAGGCCACCTTCAAAAGAGAGCTGGGAAGGTCAGAGTAAGTCATGTTTTACAAACTCATCTCCCGTTTTTGAATGAAAATGTGGCTGAGATATTCCATTCCACATGATTGTTGCTGGATAAAAAATGTGTATTTTCTGCTTAAGGGCCGAGGAGTCGGGTGGAGAGGCCGCTGTCGGCAAATAGAAAGTCTTCTGTCGAGGACCGGGACCCAGAGGAGGTTGCGATCAGGGTACGCCAGGCCATACAGAGAGAAAACAACCCAGTGCAGAGTGCAGAGCTCTTCAGTCGACACACGGTCTGCCTGAGCCACACTTCACTTCTTACATCTGTTATTACATCTCATTTTCATCTGTAACTGTATACTTTGCCTACTTTTGATTTTA